TTTCTCTCTCTTCTCTTTCTCTCTCTTTCTCTCTTTCTCTCTTTCTCTCTCTTTCTCTTTCTCTTTCTCTTTCTCTTTCTCTCTCTCTCTCTCTCTCTCTCTCTCTCTCTCTCTCTCTCTCTCTCTCTCTCTCTCTCTCTCTCTCTCTCTCTCTCTCCCCCCGATGGGAAGGATATTCGCCGATGTCATTCCACATACGATAGTTTCACATTCTACATAGCACAGCCTTGCTAAATCGTTATTTCAATGATGACTGTCAGCTTTGAGCACTGAGCAGTAGCACCAAACACTGGGAAATTATAGCCCCATTGTGCTAGATGGGTTAGCTACATAAATAACCCATAAAAGCCATACGATGACTTTGACGCACAGTTTCACTGAAAGCCCAGATCACTCGTGAAACTCGAGAGCCGAGCAAGAAGCAGGTGGCTATGATCCATCTGGCAGCCGCAGCCATGACACCCTCGGTTGCCAGCTTGGCTAACATAACTCAAACCGCTTCCCACCTTTTCCCATAGTGACATTAACCCGAGCGTGTAAATTTAACATCGTGTGTAAATATACCTTCTGTGGGAAAACATGATTTTCACGGTTCAGTTCCGGCCATAATATACACTTCGAGACGGCTGAAATTGATATTGATGACTAAGGTGGCGCCTAAATGACGTGTAACTTGGCCATTACATGCGTCAAGACATCAGCGGCTTTGGCCATTATCTTGGCTAATTGCTTTGCGTAGGGAAACTTACCTGAGTCCTGATGAGTCATGTGCTTTTAGTTGATGAGGAATAGAGCAAGGTCATACGAAGGCTCGTGGCCTAGATTGAAGAAAAGTGCGCTCATACGAAATTGACTCATTTATTTTCTACTCATATGCTGACCTCAGTGTGTATAGGAAGCCGTGTGAACGACACAGCCCCTCGTTGTTGCCCAGAGGCGCCTGTCTTATACCCGTAACTGTCCTACTTTTTCCATACATTGCGCAAAGTCTATTATAATTGAATGACAGAGCAGGATGGTGAACGATACACGAGAAGAAAAGGTCACAGAAATAGTCTTTTTGTGACTGGTTCTGTCCTAACTACATCATCGCATATTCACACAACGTTAATTCAGCTTTCAGGTCCGCCTGATATATCGTTAGAGAACCAAGAAAATAAGCAAAAATATATTGGCACCCAGATTCCGTCTAACATTCCCGCTTTCGTCGTACTACTCACATGACACATTCTCTTTTACTCTGTTAACCGTGCATTGCCGATCAGTTGAGCTCTATATTTTTATTCTCTATCTTGTCTTGGATTTGTCACATTTTTTTACCGTTTTTTTTTTGTGTGTCTGTCATGTCGGTCTTTGCCACGATATCTTGTCATACTCCTGTCTTCCATACTCACATTTTCCATTTAGCTATTTTATATACCTACCTAATTCCGCTCTATAGATATATTTCACCTCCTTTTTTAGTTGTTCAACCCAAAGGAGCATCCACAGATTGAAGTATAGTGCGTATAGTGATTTCCTAGTTATGCTCCTCTAACCGGTGTGTTTTGTTTATTTTCAGATCGCCAGCGGCGCCAGTCTCAATACGGACCACCCCGTGCCTACAGTATCACCGAGGCCCCTCCCCAAACCCCGTCCCCGGCCCCGCCCCTCCCCCCGACCTACTCCCCGGTCACAGTCGCCGGCGCCGCGGCGGCTACGGCTTTGGGCGCGGCGAATAGCCGGCCGCAGCCGGCGCACAGACCAAAGCCACAGCCGCCGGCGTGGCAGGGTGGTTTCTACGCACGGGCGGATGGGAATCGGGACGGGAATTCGTTTGTAACTGAACGGAGTACTGCGCAGGCGCAGTTTGAATATAGCCAGCAGGGCGGTACTCAACAGGCTGCCACTCAGCAGGGGGCCACTCAGCAAGGGACGACTCAGTCGATTTATGTGCAGCCTACCGTGGCTCAGCAAGCGGCGACTCAGCAGCAGACTCAATATGTTCAGCAGCAAACTCAGTCGCAAACTCAGTACGTCCAGCCACAAACTCAGTCGCAAACTCAGTACGTCCAGCCGCAAACTCAGTCGCAAACTCAGCCGACACTCCCTCCAGCACCTATAACTCGTTACAACTCTCCTTCGTCACAGGCTACAGAAGAGTCACCCGAAGCGACTCAAAGCTATGAGACGCAGCCCACACCGGCCCCAGTTGAGACTACGGAGTATATTGAACCTGCCGTTGAGGTTATTGTAGGCTCTCAGCCTATAGGCTACGATACACAGCCTACGGGTTATGAACCTCAACCTATAGCTGAGGTGGCTGCGAGTGAGGAAACTGCAACGTATGATACACAGCCAACGCAAGATCCACAGTCCATAACGTACAACACACAACCACCAACTGACAGCTCCCAACCCACAACCTACAACACGCAACCTCCAACTTACAACCCCCAGCCCACAACCTACAACACGCAACCTCCTACTTACAACCCCCAACCCACAACCTACAACACGCAACCTCCAACTTACGACCCCCAACCCGCAACCTACAACACGCAACCTCCAACTTACAATCCACAACCTACAACCTACAATACGCAACCACCAACTTACAACCCACAACCCACAACCTATAGGCCTCAACCCACCACAGCTCCTACAGAGCCCGAAACTTCAGCACCTACATACGCCCCACCCACTACCCAAGAAACGATGACGACTACTTATGGGCCGGTCCCAACAACGGTCGCTTCTGATGTGACGACTGAAGAGCCGGTTTATGTCCAAGAGACTACTACTGCTGCTGCTGCCGCTGCTATGTACGAGACAACTACAGTCACGCATGAGGTCACGTATACAACTGAAGCTACTGAACCTACCTACCAACCTACCACTGAACCTACTTCTTCACCTATATCTTCAACATATGCTCCAACTACCTCGGAACCTGCTGAAACCTACACCGAAACTTCTACTGAAACTTCTACCGAATCACCGACTGAAAATTCTACTGAAAACTCTGCCGAAATCCTCGCAGAAGAGCCCACGTCAAGTCGTCCTGCAACCGCTAAAGGCTATTCCCCAACCTCATCGCGTGCTAAACCATCTCCTAGCCCCTCCACTCGGCCAAATAAGGAGGAGCGATATCGCCCGACCACATATCGCCCCAGTTATCGCCCGTCTGAAGAGACCGCGGCAGGCAGAGATCGGCCGTTCGGCCTGACTGGTGTGGGCGATACATTCTTCGACGATGGATTTGAAGGTGAGACTTCAGGGTGTGTTTGGGGGTTGAAAGGTTGTAGGAGGGGCCAGGGGGGGGGGAAGTCGTTATGGATGAGCGGGGTTCATGAAGGTCGAGCTATTTGGGGTTGTTATGGTGGATGGAAAGTTTAGGGTTAGGTGTAAGAGGTAAACGACAATACTGAAAGGCTCGAAGCGATTTTCAGTGATTTTAAACGTTATTGAAGTGGGTTGATGTGGTTCAGAACACAGAATAAGGCGTGGGGTGCTGGAAGCCATGGGATTGGTTGTGGCAGTTGGAGGAGCAAAAACGTTTAAACTCAGCACTACCTTACACACTACATTGTGACTTTGAGGGATAATGATGAGCCCCGTAAAACCAAAGTGCCCTGCTACAATTACGAAAAATGCGCCCTGTATTTACGTTGTTGGATTTTGTGAATATATTGCATTCAATGTACTCAGTCATCCCCGACAACCACAGCCAATCTGACAGCTTACAATGATTACATTACAGCTGTCCTGGAGACATGCGTCTAACCACCCCTTCCCCATCTTTTTCACAGACGAGTTCAACAGCAACATTCTTAGCCCCCACCGGTACCAGTACCCTCCTCGGTACCACAGTCGTCCCGGGTACCCGGAGCACCGCCAGAGGTACCCCGAGGTACCCCCGTACCGCCGTCCGTACCCCTACCACGGAGAAGAGTACGCAGATGAAGGGTACGGGTCACATCAGAAGGGACATGGAAGACCGGGGAGGGGTGGTTTTATTAGGCCGTGGACGGTACCGAAAGTGATTCAGGAAGCGCTGAAGGATGGGCTACGACCCAGCTGGTAGATGGCAGCAGCATAGCGAGCGGAGTTGTAGGTGGTGCTAGTGTCACCCGTACTGTACGATAAACGTGGAAATTGTGGATACTGCCGTGTAATACGTAATGTTAAGAGTAGCTTCGAGGCTTTGAGCTTCGCATAATTGCGTAGAAATAACTGTCCGATTTTATAACTTACGAGAAGGTTATGATAGTTATAGCCAAGATATAGTCTAGGACTCTAGCTAGTCACTCGATCGTACTGAACTGACAAATCTGTCCTGATGTTTTAATAATAAACTTTTTTACCTTTTTACCCTTTGTCTGTGGCGACCATCGTATCACGAGCATTGGTGAACAGTATCGGATATTACGTACCGAAACACACCGTGGGCACATTGATCAGACACATACAGATTCTCACAGAACATTTCGTCAACCGTCAACTGCCAATAAGTAAATAGTGTCGAGTGAACTGAATGTGAAGTTGACCGCTCAACTTATGAAATGATGCGCTATTCTATTGAAAATTGATTTGTTGTAAGCAGGGCTGCGGAGTCGATGGATTTTCGCCGACTCCCGACTCCGGCTTTCAAAAACCAGCTCCGACTCCGACTCCGACTCCGGGCAGAATTGTCGACTCCGACCGACTCCGACTCCGCAGACCTAGCAGGGCTGCGGAGTCGACATATTTTCGGTGACTCCGACTCCGACTCCGGCTCGGGTTTCTAAAATCGACTCCGACTCCGACTCCGACTCCGGTCACAACTGTCGACTCCGACCGACTCCAACTCTGACTCCGACTCCGCAGCCCTGGTTGTAAGTATACGCCATTATCTGCCAGAATATAGGCACCTGTTCCGCTCCGTTAGTGTCTCCCGATTAAAAAAAAACAAAACAAAAAACTATCGACTGCTTAGATTGAGCTCTTTTTGACGACAGGTCTCCAAAAACAAAACTTACTACTTGCAGATTTATTTAGCGGACGTTTCTGGCTTACACAAGAGTTAGGAACATATGAGTAAAACCATTTTGAGGATTGTTATTGTCAGGCCTGACGACGTTACCTGTTACTTATAACACTCGAGGAGCAACTCTAGCAAATTCGCAGCGGAAAACTGGTAACACGAGGTGCCAACAACAAAACGATACAGATTGATGCAACACAAATTAGACGGTGAAAACCTGAAAAATATAAAACCTAGGGAAACAATTCGCGAAAAGACCCAAGTAGCAGTCAAAATCACGAGACATTTCTCATCTCGTAGACTTGTCAGTGAAACAGTGAACACTGGACTTTCTTATCGAAAAAAGAAACCGCAGCACATTAGGCAAATAACCAACGTGTTATCACGCAACTGGCGAGTGATAATGAAAACCTTCCCCACCACTCTAGGCGTGTAATTTTCTCTTCTCTACGCCAAAGTCCGAACATTATGAACCATCTCCTCTCAAACGAGCACGGAATAGCACACAGCTTAGTACGCATTCACACCCTTCCAAACACACTCACAGGCCGATGACGTCATCCCACCAACCAGTGATGTCACCTCATCAGCCGATGACGTCATATCAGACAATGACGTCATACCGACAGAACGGTAAGTGTCAGCCGAGGATCATCCAATGCATCCCACCATCATTATACACAGGCAAGGAGCAAAGTGTGAAGAGTTTCCCTTTCCCCTGTGCCAAACCCATCTACTCCGTCACTCCTCCGTTACTCTCTCCCTCTCCCCTCTTGATACACTCTCTCCCTGCTCCGTCACTCTCCCTCTCTCACTCCCGCTCTGTCCCCGGTTGTATGATAGCCCTAACTGACCGCAATACGCTGCTTGGTCCTTATCAGTTCGCGGAGGTTGTTCTCTGATTCCTTCAGGCTCTTTTCCAAGTATTGCTTGTTGGCCTGTAACGATATAGAATGAATTGTGGTCAGTTGAAATACCACACAAGTTGAGCATAAACGCGTGGTTTTACCGAAACAAATCAAAGACTGGATGCACGGATTGTAAATTTCACATCAGACACATGAGGCTTTTAAACTTTATAGGCAAATTAGCAACCACTTCAGAATAAATTTTAGCGTTTTCATCATCATGGCAACTTTTCACCCTCAATATTTTTATCATCACGGCGACTTATAATATTTTGTTGACGTTAGATACGTTAAAAATGTCACTGGCGAGATGTACTTTTCAAATATACACCTTGGTATTCTTTCTCACCTCTAGTTTGGCGATTTTTTCCTTGTTGGTCGCCTGTTTTTTCTCCAGGTTTTTCCTCACGGTGGGCACATTGTTCAAGACAAACATCCTCCCCACGCCGTCATACACTCGCGTGGTGTCGGGCATAGCCTGAGGGCACAGTCGGCTGTCAGTTAGAACCGAGCACCGCGGGTTCGATTCTCGGCATTGTGAGGTTTGCAATTTTATGACATCTCATGTTACTTACAGAATACGCGAAAAATTGCATAATTTTTCGGCCAAAATCTATTAACGTGGCAGCATCTCATTTGCAAATTGCAACTCTTGCCATTTCTTACCGGGTTTCCACAGGACATTATTAAATTAGTCCACCACTCTCAGCTCCCAGCAAATTGGCCCATGTCAGCTGCAATGTCACCCAAATTACATCCTTTGAGTGATTCTAACCTCACATTGTTTCATACCCCTCTCACCCTCTCACTAAGTCCATCCCTTTCTCTCACTCCCTTCTCACCTGAATCTCCCGATCGGTGAGCGTGGCATGATCGATCTGCCGCTTCAGCGTAGCAATCTGCATGTCAGACAGCCGTATTGACTGGTTGGTGTTCTGCATCTTCTGCTGGAGCTCCAGGAACGCCTGCACCGAGGAGCACGACACAAAAATGCACGTGAGACACCAATGACCGTGCTAGGTCAAGGGGTGTTCGGACACTCCCCCCCCCCCCGATGTTTTTGGCAGATATATAAAAAACGGCGTTTTGGCACGCCTGTTCATTTTATATATTTATTTATTTCGCAGAATCGCCAACGGGGTGGCCCATTGATTGACAAAGACATGATTTTAAATGGATACATAAATACACAGCGACATTCGTACGCAAATCATACGCAACTTTTACACACTTACAATGCATCTAAACCGCACATTTTGTGAAAATTTCAGACCCATGTCATTCAAGGTCAGGTCACCAGGTCACGTCCAGTGACCTCATCTCAGAAAAAGGTCTGAATGCTCGTCATAGCTACACCGGCCCGAACGATTGCCTTGAAACTTTCGATTGATTAAAGTAGCAGTATGAACAAACTGCATATCTCGGAAATTTCAAAACGGTGACCTAAGGTCAGATCAATTTGCTGCATTGTAAATTAATCGGAGAAAATAGGAATGCTCCTCTTTTAGACGAACGCATTCTAAACACTCAAACATCGGTTTACACCTTAACTTGACACACTGAATCGGAAAAAGCACCCGTAACCCTCCGTACGTCCATGAGGTCATGTCAGGTCATAAAAGGTCCCCATTCCCCAGCGCTTTTTTACAATAACTTTTGATAACACGTTTCGACGACAGAAACAAGATGCTGGCAATAAATGTACCGTGCGTTTTTTTTTTTTTAAGCCAAAAGCGGGGCTGCGGAGCCGAGTCTAGTCGGTCAGAGTCGACAGTTCTGAGCGGCGTCGAAGTCGGAGTAGATTTTGAAACCGGAGCCAGAGTCGGAGTCACCGAAAATCCAACGACCCGCAGACCTGCAAAGCCTACGGTGTCGGAGTCGG